TTCCGCTACCGCGGAGGGGCGCCCGCCGCCCTCCACGCCCTTCCTGACGCATGGCCTCAGGCCTCCTGACTCCCGGCCCACCGTGCAGTCAGGGTCCATGCTCAGGGCTGAGGCAGGCACAGGGCCTGCCGACAGCAATAGCCCGTCCTGGGAACCCCTTGCTGTGAACCCCTCACTCAGCGACCTCAGTCACACCCCTGCCCTCGGGGCAGCCCAGACAAAGGGAAGCCGGTGGCCCTGTCAGCCCGGCCTGGCACCAGTGAGGGTGTGGGTGGGACAGCGTGCAGAACACCCCCTGCAGTCTCGGGACTTCGAGGGCTTCTGTCATGCGCACGTCTGCTCGGCTTCTGGCCGACCTGCACTGCTCCTGGCCCACGTCTCCCCACTTCTGCCAGCTCCTGGCCCTCCGGGGTGGATTTGGGCCTCTGTTGAGGCATATGCATGGTGGGCTGCCAGGGCGAAGTGCCTTCCTCAGAGACTCGGAACCCACATGCACAGAATCAGCAGGTGTGGACGCACACAGAATGAGCCCGGAAACACACGCAATGCAAAGCTGCTGGGCTGTCCTGCACAGCCTCTCGGGCCGTGTCCTCGGTCATGGTTTAGTTCCACCTGGTGTCACATCTCAGTGTTGCTGACTCAAGGAGCCGTGGTGGGGCCAGCCCAGGGCCTCACCTTGCAGCCATGCCTTTCCACCCTCCACTCGCTTCCGCGCTGTGGCCGTGGCTGTGCGGCAGGCGTGCTGGGCGGGCGCCCACCAGCTGGATGGTGTGGCGTCGGGAGGTCTGAGTGCAGGTCGCTGGCCTCAGCCCCGTCATCTTGTCTGATGTCATTCAGCTGGGAGCTGAACCAGGACAGTTCTCGGACCAAAGATGTCACCACGCTCGGAGTCTCTATTTGGGGGAAGAAAGCGAACGTCAACGGGTGGAGCTCTGAGGTGCGCAGCCCGGAGCTCAGCAGGGAAGGCTGCTCCCAGATCCTGTCTGGTGGAGTGTGGCTGGAGGGTGACAGTAGCCAGGGTTAGCTTGTTACCTTTGGGAGGGACCAAAGGAGGCCAAGCCCAGCTCAGTCCTCACCCGTCTCTGACCACCTCTGCTAGTAGCCGCGGGCGGCAGGCACGCTCCACACTCAGGAAACCCAGCCGGGCCACCTCGTCCTGGAAGAACGGCTTTACCGTCCTGCGCGAAGCTGAGCACAGCCAGCAGGCTTCCCACTCACTGGGCCTCTGTCCTCCCAGCCTTCTCCACCCTTCTCCACCCTTCCAGCCTGCAGCATCCTGGAGGGAGCCCAGGAGTCACTTGGAGAGAAGAGGACGGTGGGCCGCCCCCACAGTTCCTGGGGCCATAGGTCACCCCTCGGCCACCTGCTGCCTTGTCCTGCGACAGCCCTGCCTGAGAGCAGCTCGAAGGCCCCTTCTGTGCCCCAGGAGGCATGTTTACAGGCTTTCCGATCGCCTTCCTGAGGGGCAAGCAGGAGTCTGGGCTGGCCCTTGGAATCACGCTGGGAAATGGTGATAGAATGTACCCTCTGCCCCCAGGGTAATCGCGAAGTCGCTGTACAAGAATCCACCAGGTCAGAAGCAGTCACTAGCTGAGGGCCGTGGGGTGCAGCTCAGCCTGTCCCAACTCCTGTGCCTTTGTGACGTCATGACCGAGGCGGCTGGCTGAGCCAAGAACGCTGTCAGTAGCTTTCTCTCCTCCCCTTGCTGGGGAGTAAGATCTTTTTTAACTACATGGGATATAAAATCGGCCTTTTGCTTCTTCGGCCTACCTCTCCCCTTTGCTGAATTAATGTTCACGATTCTGTTTCGTTAAGTTTTTAAGGCCGTTAGGTTGTGTGATCGCAGCGTGTTTGCACACGTGTGCGGGGGCTCCGTCCTGGAGACGCCAGCCAGGCCAGGCGTGTTTTGTTCGGACCTGTTTCCTCCATGTCGCCTGGTGCTCGGGGCCGCCGTGGCCCGGAGACCACGATGCTGGATCTCTGCTACATGCACGATCGATTCTTGCCCACAAGTTTTCTCATTTGGGAATCTTCCCTACTGAGTCTGGTCAGATGGCCCTCACCCTGACCTTGTCCTGGCTCCCTGGCCATGGCGGAGGGGCAGCCAAGGCCACTCATCTGGTCCCCCAGGTGTGTTTGAATTCATTCCCACCCCGTTCCTGTCGCCACTCCCAAAATAGAAACTCCAAAATGCTGACCCTTTGGAGCAGAAAGCCCATCTGAACAGAGGACAGGGCTGCTGGCTCATTACCCTGAGGGCGGCTGTCGCGTCTCCCCTGGGCGGGCCCCTGCTGCTTCGTCCATGATGAGCGGAGATGCAAGGCCGGGCAGGCGTACCAGGGCCGTGTGCTCGTCGCTGGCAGGTCCCACCAGCGGGGCCCCCATGCCCTGAGCTGAGGGAGGCAGTCCCAGCGTCTTGTCCAGGGAAGCAGCTGGGGGCAGCTCTTCAGCCAGCACGCCCAGGGCTGCCCGTTCCTGGGGTCAGTTATTGGCCAGATCTCGTGGTCTTGGGGCCTGAGCCTGTCTCCCTGGTTCTGCTGTCCGCCTTTTAGGGGTCACTCCTGGAAGTTGCTCTGGCTTTGAAAAACGTGCACCCTGAGAGGACTTGGCACCCCAAACCCCAGGGTGGTGTGAGTCCCTGGTTCTTCCCCCAGGAAGGAGTGCAGAGGTCCAGGGCATAGTACCCCTTCACCCTTGCCGTGCCTGTGCAGCTGGGCTCAGGCCAGGGCCTCCCGTGGGGTGGGGCCCCTTTCTTGTGAGGCCCAGGCTGCGCGCCCAGATGGACCCCAAGGTGGTAGGGTGGTCTGTGTTGCCCAGATCACAGTAGCTGCCGCTGAGCAGCACCTTGCATTCAAGGTGGGCCACTCATCCTGGGGGGAGCCGGCGGCCTGTCCTGTGGCGGCAAGCACCCCGCAGGTGTGGGGAGCTGCAGCCCACACCCTGCTCACGCCTCGGCCTGCCTCGTTCCTCTCCTCTTGCTGACTCCACCCTGGGTCAGCTCGGAATGTCCCCCGACCTCCCTCTTGGCTCTCAGAAGTCCCCGATTGTCCTCGTCCCATCTGCCTGAGGCCTCCCACTACCGGCCTGGGTGTAAGTTGGGGGTCTCCTTTTTTCCTCAGGTGGCAAGGTGGCCTTTCCCAGACACCTGCTTCTCAGGAGCAGGCCCGGAGGGCAGGAGGGCCAGGTCCCAAGAGCCCTGGGCATGGGCGGTGGGGGCTGCAGCTGGCAGCCCCTCGCCCTCCACCCCGGGAGTGCTGAGTGCGTTTTCAGCACGTTGGTGCATGCAAGGGCAGAGGCAGCGGCTGGAGGTGGAGGGCGAGGGCAGCAGCCTGTTCACGTGACCACAGCCTTGGTCAGCTCTGCAGGTTCCCGGGACCGGGTGCACCCGTGGGGTACATGGAAGCCTGGCAGAGGCTCCAGAAACGGGAAAGAAGGTTAGGAGCCCTCCCTCACCCACGCCCAGCAGGGTTGGCCCCGGGGGTGGGTGACGTCGGCCAGCCACAGGCTTGGCACCCTGAGTGCTTCACCATCCCGGCTTACCGCGCTGGGGACAGCAAAAAGCAAAAAAGCAAAAAGCAGCCCTCAGGAAGAAAAGGGAACTTGGCACGTCGAGTGTTGCCCTCCACGTGTGCGTTTTACATCCCAGAATTTATTTTTGTGGAACTCCTTTCCAGTTACGTAGCAAAGGTCACCGCCACACTCCGGTCACGCTTCGGCGCGTCTTAACCTTGGACGTCGCTGATTGGAAGAGTTCTTTTCTGGGTTTCTGAGCAGAGATCTGGTCTCCCCGAGTTCAGGTTGTGGAGGGGTGGGAAACACTGACGTTTTCTGTGTTGGTTTATGTGCGGCCGGGGAGGTGGGGAGGGCTCGCCGTTTTTTCCGGTTTCACTTAACTATATAAATGGCTGTTTTCTGGCACGAGCTTTGGTGACTCAGGGCTTCTCTGAGCAGTCACGTTGTGGTGTGGAAAATCAAAGCAGAGCAGAGCCTGGTTTACCCGGGGCTCCCTCCAGCCTGCGTCGTCCTGAGCACAGCCCCCGTGCTCTGCTGTCAGAAAGCGCGTTCCCACCAGCTGTGTTCAACACTACAATGCATTTTTAAAACTATATTTGCATCCAAGACAATAAAAGAAAACCTTATTTTTTGGAAAAGCCTGTGCGGTGTGGCCTTATATGCTACCCTGTTGATCTGTGGGAGGGGGGCGACATGAGAGGAGCAGGGCTGGCCCTGTGGCTTAGTGTGGTTAGGGCAGCAGGACCCCACATCCAACTACGGCTTGCTCCCCACCCTGAAGTCCTACAAGACACGCCAGTGTGCACACGCCCAAATCCCGTGGGATGCAGATGTGGAGGAGGGACTGCAGCAGGACCTCGCCCTCTAGGGGATACTTTCTCGCACCTTGGTAAGTGCACATGCCCTCCGGCAATTGGAAGAAAAGGTGAAGTGACCCCCTCTGCCAGCTCTTTTTTTATTTTTTTGAGAAATTTTTGCTATAGGGCGCATGTGCTTGCTGGAGAGACAGACAAGACAGAAAGTGAGAAATCCCCCAGAGGGGATGGCCACACTGGAATCTCTTCTCCATTCTCCCCTTGGGACTTTGGGTACGCACGCATATGCGCGCCGTGTGAGTTTTAAGTTATCGGAGCTGGGACTCAAACCGTGGTCGAATGCATGGG